CAAACACCAAGTGCCTCTAGATGCAAACACTCAAGCAATGCACTTTGATTCACTTCCAATCTCACAAAAATGATGAATTAATGACGAAGATGAGTGGGAGGACTTTGGCTAAGCTCACAAAGTTGCTATGTCAATGCAAATGGCCAAGAGTGTGAGCTAGAGCCGGCAACGGGGTTTAAATAGAGAGCCCCCACGAATAGAGCCGTTGGCTCTCTGTTCACTGAGAAATCGGGACGACCGGACGTGCCGGTCGAATTGACCGGACGTGCCGGTCGAATTGACCGGACACTGAACCCAAGCGTCCGGTCCTCAAATTTTCACCACGTGTCCTCTGCTTCAAATGCTGACCGCCCGATCTCAACGGTCATCAGTACATTTAAGTTGTGATCGAACGCGCTACAGTGTAGGACCGGACGCACAGTCGTCTAGCGTCCGATCACTTCCAGTAAGGTTCCAGAGACGGAAATTCACGACCGGACACGTCCGATCACCCCTGACCGGACTCACCCAGCGTCCGGTCAACACACAGACCAAACCCCCAAGCGGCACGTCATTAGCATCGGACTCGCCAGAGTAGTGGCCGGTCAGTTTTATTAGCCAGCGTCCTATGCAACTCAGAGAGAGTCCAGAGAGCTTTCTGAGCGACCGGACGCGTCCGGTCACACATGACCGGACTCGCTCAGAGTTCGGTCAGTCTCTGCTGACTGACCAACGCCTAGGTTTAGCCACCGGACGCGTCCGGTGCACTTTGTGAAACCCTGTCTTTTCTGTACGGACGAACACTCCGCCGGTGAAATTTCGAACCCTTGCTCCCAAGTGCTAAACATAATGTGTATCACCTTTGTGCATGTGTGTTAGCATATTTTCACAAACATTTTGAAGGGTGTTAGCACTCCACTAGATTCTAAATGCATATGTAATGAGTTAGAGCATCTAGTGGCACTTTGATAACCGTATTTCGATACGAGTTTTACCCCTTTTAATAGTAAGGCTATCGAATCTAAATATGATCACACTCGCTAAGTGTCTTGATCGCCGAAACTAAATGGCTCTTACTACTTATACCTTTACCTTGAACTTTGTTTTTATTTTTCTTCTTTTCAACTCCAATCACTTGATCACCACCGTGACATCACCATCATCATATCATGATCTTCATTTGCTCTACCACTTAAAATATGACACCTATCTTATAATCACTTTGATAAACTATACTAACACTTAAGGTTTTATTAATTCAAACAACCAAACTAGAGCTTTCGTGCTCGCCCATTTCAGATTCAGCGACGTTTTGTCACCCGTCATGATAGTCTGCTCTGGATCGGAGCGTGCATTGCCCAGCAAAGCATGCACCTATAAATTTTAACCTCCAGCATAATCTTCTCTCGGGCACTGCAGCTTAATTTGTGTAATTTCGAGGATCCCTCTGCATATAATTATTTGACGCCGGCCAAAGGGGCCAAACAACAGAAACAGGGAAGCCATTTTCTACTGCTTGTATTTTAGTAGTCTATATTATACGTATTGGCCTCCTGAATTTCACAGGGTTTCCATAGTGGCAGTTAAGGCCATCTTAGACCTCGTTTGAATTCACCAGCTAAACTTTAGCTACTCGGGATCCAAGTGTCAGCTAAATTTTAGCTAGAGGCCATCAATCCCTTTAGCTATTTCAACCCAACGAAATCTAGCTAAAACATGGTTAAAGGCGAAATTGCCTCTCTGTTTTTCCATGTCTACATCTGGCTCAACAAAAATAAGGGTAGCAAGATAAATAAACACCAATTAGCTAGATGATCCAAACAGTTCCAACTAAACTTTAAATGGCTAAAGTTTAGTCAGGATGGATCCAAACAGGATCTTAGGGATGGGCAACAACAGTGAGGGCCAGAGGTTATTAGTATATGTATATAGTATATTTGATCCACTAAAATAAAAATTTAAAGGTTCATGCACTTAATACAAGTCTAGTAATTAGGAATTAGCTTGTTGCCGCTTTCCATTTTGATATTTGGCTATTCTCGATCACTTCTAACATATGTTGCAAGTTAACTCGTATTAGTAGCACTATATACTTTAGTCATTACATTAAAAACTTGTTTGGCATGACTCCAATCCTAAAAGTGGCCCCTGACACCTATACAATTTATCAGAAAAACGGTGTGTTTGGTACGATTACTCTGGTTTCTCCACAGAAGCTGCCATGCCAAACAAATCTAAAAAATTATACTGCTAGACCCTGCATGAAATTGTTGGGACGGCCGTGGAGGCCGTGACCTCTCTCTCTCTCTCTCTCTTTTTTGCAGGGTTTCTAGAATTGCGTTGGCGGCTTGGCGCATCGTTACTCCCCTTCGGTTCACAATGTCTGTTTGTATTCGTATCTGGGTACAGTAGTCTTGTACTGGTATATTGTACTATCTGTTCATGTATCTCTGGAGTCTGGACACTACAGTGTGCAAGATACTGAAAAGCCTGGCTCCACCTCAACCAGTGCCCATGTCCATGGCAATTCACAGCTATAAAAGTCGCCTGCAATTTCACAGAGTTTGTGCAGCAGTTTCTATTGATGGTGGATGGCAGCATCCACTGTTCCCAGCTCACCCCTCCCTCCTTCACGAAACTTTGGCCTGGTCTACTTCGTAGCCCAAAAGTTTATACTTTCGAATGGTTAGACACAGACTATTAAATATAGACTAAAAAATTAATAATTACACATATTACGACTATTTTGCGAGACGAATCTTTTAATTCTAATTAGCCATAATTTGACAATGTAGCGCTATAGTAACACATATACTAAGGACGGATTAATTAAGCTTAATAAATTCGTCTCGCGGTTTACCGATGGATTCTGTAATTTATTTTTTTATTAGTATCCAAACACCCCGATACAATACCTCATGTAACACTCAACGTGACCTAAAAACTTTACGACTTAAATTTAAACAAGACCTTAAAACCATACAAACCAAGCCTACCCCACCCACACACTGACACACAAGTCACAAAAGCACGAAAAGGTGCCAAAAGGGAGCTTTTTTCTGCAGATAAAAAAGAAAGAAAAATAGAACAATAAAAAAAAGCAACAGAAGCAGGAGGAGAGAGGGGGCAGTAGAGGTAGAGAGAGAAAGGCTGCAACCTTGTATTGTAGCCAACCTCCATCTCCACCCTCTCTCTCCCCTCTGTCCCTCTTTTTCCACTTCCACCTTCCCTCCCTCCTCTGCACCTTCTCAATCTCCCCTCCCCCCACGTGGAGTATAACACCCATACGCAGACGCCACACGCGCAAGCACATGAACAGAACCACCACCACCACCACCATCTCGGCGGCTCCCACTTGCTCCCCTTCCTCGCTCTGATCCTCCTCCTCGTGCACTGCTCCGCCGCGGCAACCTCGCCGCCACCCCGGCTGCCCCAGCGCTCCCTGGGGCACGTACTCTCCGGTAATGCTTCGCGCCTTCGCCTCCGTTGTGTGCGTGTGTGACGGTTGGTTATCTCGGTTTCATCAGTGGGGGAAAAAAATCGGTGCTTGGTAACTGTTCTTCGCGGGGAGCGACTGAGACCGGCGAGTTTGTGGCCGGGAATGGGAAAGTTTTTGTTTCTGGGCAGTTCTGGGTGGATCTTTGCTGCTTTTGGCAGGAAAGCGAACAGCTTTATTTGTTGCTCGTGGCGTGTCGGGTTGAGTGTTTTTTTTTGTTTCTTGTTCTTGTTTCTGTTTCTCTGGATGGACTTAGCCGGCAAGCCAAGCTTGGCTTCTTGGTGCAGACACCTGGGGTTTACCTGTCAAGGCAGGGATTTTTTGGCATAAATATGTGTGTTTTCGTAGGCTCCTGCATTGTCCAACAACTAGTTTTTGGGCGATTCAAGGCGGAGCCTACGCCTTTTGGGATCAGCCTGGGATTCCGATGCTACTCGTTGGGTTCTTCTGCTGCTCAGGTGTCTTCTCTGATCAATCGCGTCGGTTCTTCGGGTACGGAAGAAATGCCATGGTCCCGGAAATTTGTTGCGTTTCGTCTTTGATTCGGTTGGGTTCTTTCAGCTGTCATCCGTGGGATTAGTGGCGACGTGAGTCCAAGTCTTTCGGATTCTTGTTGGGCCGATTTATTTTCTCTTCGTTTTCAAATGACTATTTCCTTTTTTCCCCCTTCTTTGGACAATAACTCTTTTATAACCTTAGATCCAGGTCTTGTGCTAGTTTCAGTCCCTCTACCCATTTTGGGTTTCTGTGTTCTTTGCCTCTTGAAAGGTTAAACAACTTGTGTTCGTGGCCATTAAGTCAACTTGTTGAGCTGAAGAGTTCAAGGGAGCAATTAAAACTGTGCAGTGCAGAATCTTTGTATTTATTTATAGTTTTTATCTGGAGTGCTAGTTGTTTCTGAAGACTTACAAAGTATCGAAGTACTTTCATTCTTATTTTAGATTCCTTTTTAGCTGTATGTTGGTGCGAAGCAATCGCCTATATTATGAGCATATATAGATGTGTGATTTTTAATGGTCAAAAAATGGATTTGTTTGCAGGCTGTCATAGGGAGTGGCCTGCGCGTTCGGTGATTGGTAGCCTGGTAGGCCACCAATAATATCATCTCGTCTGGGCTTATTTGCCTCCATTTGTCATCAGGTAGTTTGGGTTCCAAGTCTTCATATTATTTCTGGCTTCTGTCTTCAGATTTTAGAGATCTATATGCATTTTTTCCCGGTGTTACATTTCTTTTCGTTTGTACTTCTATTTGCCATATCAATGCATGTAATACTTTCCTGGTTTCCCTAAAGTGTTGTCAAGTTGTGGATTCAGTACTCTGAACATCTTCAGTAAACCATTCCTACTTCAGTAATAGGTGCTGTTAGAGGAATACCGAAAGCACAAATTGATGTCTTTTGGTTTCTTACTTCATTTATGAAAGCATTGTAGTTAGGGCGTATCTAATCACTCGTTGACTTTTCTGTTGTTCAGCTTCTGTGAAGAAAAATCCTCTTGGGCTGAATAAATTCAGCATATAACCACTATGGGTGCCTGTGTATCTTCAAGCAAAAAGCGGAGATCGCAAAGATTGTGTTGTAATTACAGGCGCTACCGTGGCAAGGTTTTAACTAATACGCCTATAGTACGTGCCAGTAATGTGGAGAACTTTGCTTCTTCCGGAGAAGCAGTCCATTTAGGGACTGCAGCTACTCGGCGGAGATCTGATGGCTCAAACGTTACATTCCACCTCACACAATTGCAGTGGCATCACAGTGAGCTGGACACAGAGAATGGAAATGGTAATTTGAAACTTCTTGTTCCTTGCATATGTTCCAGTAATGCAATGTCTCACATTAAAACAATGCGCTAAAATTCAGTATTTTTCCTGTTGGTCTAGTTGTGTGCCAAGAAGAAGCGTGGTTCGACTCTGTCAGTATTTTAGGATCTGACTCAGATGAAGACTTCAGCAGCGTCAATGGAGGTTTGTATTGTTTTTCAGCCATTTTGATTGTTGCTAAAAGTACAGAGTTGACGCACAATATTCAGACGTTTTTGTTCAAGGGAACATTTATATTCAGGTTTGATCTTTTCTTGCAGACCTCCCAGCTATGTCAAATTCAACAGGTACACAATTTATGCAATGTGAAGATGCTTCATCCATCGCTGATGCCATCCAGAAGTTTGAAAGGATTTTTGATGGTTCTAGTGTTGCTCAAGCTGTTGGACAGTACCTGAAAAGAGATGCAAACAAAATAGAAGTTGAGAGGCCTAAAGCTGCAAGCCCGGAAACTTGTGATGTCTCTAGTGGAAAGGTTGAGGACGCGAAGACACGAAATGAGGGCATAAAAATTCTGACAAAACTTAGAAGAGGCGAGGATGCATGTAACACCTTGAAGTCTTTCAAAGATGGAGAGAAGCCTCATGAAAGCATCTTCAAAAGTTTGACACCAGTGTGCACACCTCGTCATGCTAACAAGGTCCAACCATTGGCAGTAGCAAGTCCACGGGGCCAAAAGAAGAAATCAGCTGTTGTCAGGCTTTCTTTCAAGAGGCAATCTTTTGATGGAGAACAAACAACTGAAATATGTAAGTTTCACTCAGATGTGTTCGCCTTTTGTTTTCAGTGAACAGTGGTAGCCAGGACTAACAACCTGATTGCTGTTAAATTTCTATAAATGCAGGTTCCTCTAGAAGGTACTTGATCCGCCCACGAGCTGGATTATTGGTTCCGCAAGCTGGTGAGAAATCTTCTGAGGTTGCTGGTCTGTGCTTGAGCCTTCGACATTCAAGCTGCGAGGGGAAAGTTTTTTCAAGTAAGAATTGCTCCACAAATGCATGTAATGTCTCATGAACTTCATTTTGTATTAATTTATATTTACTTGCAGGGACAAAAGAAGTCTCCTGCTCCAGCTTGCTCTCCATACACTCCATTTGGTGTGGACATATTCATGTCCCGAGGAAAATTCACCACATTGCCCAGCATATTGAGCTTCCATCTGTAAAGCCAAATGAAAAAATCCTTCATTACTTATCGTAAACATTCAGGTATGATTACCAGATTTTCTGCCTTGAGATTTGACATGTTAATGATTCCAGTGATTACAAATACTTGTTCCATGCAGATGCCTACATATCCTGCTGCTATGTTCCTTGGTGATAGTGACGGGGAAGGGATTAATCTGGTGCTATATTTCAAACTGAATGATAACTTTGAGAAAGAAATTCTCTCCCAGTTTCAATACCGCATTAAAGTTAACGTCTCCAACGATGGATTGCGTCTCTTTTCATAAATTGCTGATGCCTACTAATTCATAACTGAACTGTACTGAATTTCTGTCTCTTGCTTTGTTTGTCTTCAGAGACTTGTAAACGACGAAATAGAAAAGGTTAAGGGTTTCCCATTGGACTCAATAGTCCCTTTCAGAGAAAGATTGAAGATATTGGCAGGGTTGGTTAACCCAGATGACATGAATCTGAGTTCTGCAGAGAGGAAGCTTGTTCAGGCTTACAATGAAAAGCCAGTCCTCTCAAGGCCTCAGCACAACTTTTATGTGGTAAGTTGCTTTGTTCGATATGGTTCTACTTCTCTCTTTCATCTTGATTCTTTATGACATGTGGGGTTGATGCAGGGATCAAGTTACTTGGAGATCGACCTTGATGTACACCGCTTTAGCTTCATCTCAAGGAAAGGGCTCGAATCATTCCGAGAACGATTGAAACATGGGGTGATTGATCTAGGCCTAACCATACAGGTAGGTTGATGGTCCTTTCTGCCTTCTTTATTTGTTATTATGCATCTTCATAGCACAAAAGGAATACCATTTGTCAATTCAATATCAGCCGGAAAGTTGTTAAGAATATCTGTAGATAAAACTGATCTAATGAATTCTATCTTGTACTTTTGGAAACGAACCAGGCAGGAGAGCTGCTGATTATATTAAATAGAACAGAGCAACCGCCTTATCATTTGGAAATGTGATATGAACCTTCAAACTATGCCACTTGCCTAGTCATTGTTCATCCAAGCATTGTAAATAAATCATGAATAGTGATACTTGTAATGTATATACAACATTTTGTCATCCAGTTAAGTTACAGATTCAGACTAATTTCCTGATAAGCTGAACATGCTGACGATTGACACAGGCCCAGAAGCAGGAGGAACTTCCGGAGCATGTCCTGTGCAGTGTAAGGCTAAACAAAGTTGATTTTGTCGATAACGGGCAAATACCAACACTACTGCCATGTGATGATGACTAAAAGTTCAGCCAGCACCAAGTTAACTGAAACTGATGTTTGCGCCAAGGACATTAGCATGTGCTCGCAAGTCCATTAGTCTTGGAAGTAGGAAGAAGGGTGGAGGCATGGCGGTTCCCGTTCTGTGAGATGAACAGAAGTGGGATCTGCGTGTATAGTCATGTTCTTTGGCATTCTGGTGTTGCGAATCAAATTCTGTTGGAACCTGGAAGTTGATTTGCGAATCCAGAATTGAGAATGCCAGCAAGACGTCTTATCAATGATCTATTTATTCAATTTATGTGTTCTCGATCTGTTGAGTAGTGATATTGCTGAAATCAGGGTTACCTACTTTCGTCGTACTGGCATGCATGTTTCCCTTTTTTTTATATATAATGGAAAACCAATCTAAAAGAATGTTTTTATGTTTCACAAAGAATGTTATTATTTTTCACAAAGATAAACTTGGTAACTATGTCCTGGTGAGAAGTGGTTCTCAAGGAAGTTTTCATCTTTTTTAGTTTAACAGAATATGGTAAATAGGTGATAAGGTTTTTCAAACCATAAAAAATGTCAAGCTTCTAAAAAAGCCAAAAATTCCTATAGATAGGTTGAGACATGAAACCCAAATTTCATATTTAGAGCTTGTGGAAGTATCTTTAAAATATTTCAAAAATTAAATTTAGATCCAGGAAAATAGGGAGGATATCCAGAAAAAATTAGGAAATTTTCAAATCATTCCAATCAATGTCTAACTATGTTTTGAAAACTTTCCACGGTACAAATATAAGATGCAACCATCATGAATACATTAAACATTAAATTTATGTTTTATTATTGCTACTTCCTTCGTTTTGAAATATAAATGATCCAAGTTTGTCCAAAGTCAAATTGTGTTAACTTTGACTAAAATTATAGAAAGAAAAATAATATTTTATGTTTTTGATGTGATAAATATTAATACCGTTCTCTATAGATTTGGCCAAACTTTGCATAGTTTGGCATACGACAAACTTAGACCCCTTTTATTTGAGGAGTGTAGGTGTATCACATTTTAAAAAAAGTTTTGAAACACATTTGGACATTGATTATAATGTTTTGTGATTTTTTTAGACTTCTTGATATTTTCCTAGAGCTAAATATAATTTTAGAAGTTTTTGAGATATTTTCATGATTTATAAATATTTATTTTGTTTTCATGTCTCGGTACGCCTGTTGGATTATTTCTCCGAAAACTTTATAAGCTTCAAAATATTTGTCGTGGTTTAAAAGCATTATCAGCTATTTACTAGATTTTTTTAAAAAAAGAATGAATCACTCTGAAGACCACTTCTAACCAAGTAACCACGGTAGGGAGATAATTCAAACTGTTTTGGAAGTTGATGGGTTATAATAAGATGTCCCAGGTTAGCCTTGAACGAGGAAAATTGAACCGGTGATGTTCACAGAGAAAAAAAAATCGGACGGTCCATTGCTGTGCATAGCCTGGCCCAAATCACAAACTGCACAAGGCCCATACGAATAAGTGAATAACGGTCCACCGCACGCCGTCACTTCATTTGCTAATTACTAACGGTACAAACCAACATTTACGTCTTGGAATTGTCTCTCCCCCATCTTTTTTTTAGAACAAAGAAGTTTCATATTGGTATCTGCATAAGCACTCAACAAAGTTCAAGTCTCTGCTGGCATAAAAACAATCTCTCAAAAAGCTTGCAAGAAGTAACAATAAACTATGCAACAATCCTATTTGAAAACAGCCACCTCTATTTGGTAAAGATCTCTATTGTTGCTATCTCTCTAGGGTACGACTTGCCCACTTCAACGTTGGTCAATCGTGGTCTTTTTATAAGATGGACAAGAAGCGTGTTCAATGAGTAGCCTGAAAATAACCTGTAAATAAGAAGATCATATCTTTTTGTAAAAACCAAGTCATTCTGGTTTAACCAAATAAACCAAACGATTGCACTTGCTCATACAAAAACTTGAGAGCGTAAGTTGTGATCTACTTGGTGAAGCCAAGGACCAAAAAATCAACAGAGCTTGTTAGTTGACGTAACCCAAATGCAATTTCAAACACGAAACAAAGTGTACTACATGGCCATTGGAAAAAGATGTTGAATAGTTTCATTTGTGTTGCACAAATAACAACTCTCATCACCTCTCTAATTACACTTTACAAGGTTATCTTTAGTTAAAAGTACGCCCTTCAGAAAGAACCAAATGAAGATCTTAATTTTAGGAGGTAACTTCAACTTCCAAGAGGCATTGCAATTTGGTTCACTAAGTTTTTATACATTGATTGAACTGAGAAAGATCCCTACTTGTTGAGATTCCACTTCATTGAATCTTATTGTTCATCAAGTTGCACAAACACTATTCTTGATACCAATTCATTCCACTTGGCTAGCTCATCATCAACTTGTGTCCTACATCTATACATCTTTAGCAAGTGACGCTCACTCATCCTCTAGATCCACCCACCCCACCGCTCGACGCCCTCCCCTATGCCTAATCATAGGAGTTGCCCACCACTTTGTTGCCGGCCTTGTCCACTGCCCTTGGCCGGCAGCGCCCCTTCGCTAGCCACGCCGCTCACCACTCACCCCTTATTTGTCCTCGTCAGTTTGTGATTAGGGAAGATCAGGAAACAACCAATAAGGGGTGGGTGGTGAGCAGCGTGAATAGTCATGGAGAGGCGGACTTCTTGTCCCCATTGCTGACACTCCTCTCACCGGATGTCTCTTGCCATTGACCTCGTCATCACCGCCACCACTGTCGAGCCGGCCGCCGTCGTCGGGGGCCCTTCTTCTAACAAGTATCAATGCAGCTTGTATTACAAGTCAATACTGATAGTCATGGAGGTATTTATGTTCGTTAATAGCATGAGGCAGCATGAATAGTCACTAGTATTCGTGCTGATGTGCACATTTATTTTCTTTTTGAGGGCTGACGGGCACAGATGAACAGGTAAGTATCAATGTTTTTTTCTTTTTTTCAAGTAAAAGGACGAATTCTATTATCATAGTGTTTTCCTGCCTCATTATTAAGCCCAGTGAATCCAAGAAGCGAGACCCAAGTTTGGCGATTCGTGATTGGGCCCCATAGTTCACACGTTCTATTGGGAGTTTAGTTGAACTTTCACCTTAGGTGGTGCTACTTTCACTTCGTCTCATTTTTCTTTGAAGACTTGTAGTACTTCACCAGCTCATGAATATCCTTCGCTAACATAAGTGACTCATACATCTTTGTTTCAAGTATAGAAAACAATGACATTGCTAGAGTGATGTAATTCTTCCATTGATCAATGCCTTTGCCTTCATAAGAATAACTATCGTGTCCTCGAATATCGAGTATAACTTGATCACCAAACATACCACGAATAGATGTAGAGATCCCTTTTGCTATCACTGGTCTTGTTGATATTTGCGCTAGAGTTAGCCCAGACCAGTAGTGTCAGTAAATGGTGTGACCGAAAGTCCCTAAAATCCGGTTGGTTGACATGTTAGGGAAATAGGTTCAAAGGCTAGAGAAATAAACCCTAGCCGAGAACAAAAACTGAAGGACCGAGAACCATGACCAGAGGAGGGTGAATGGGAGCCTAATTTTTCTTTTAAAAAACTTAAGCCGTTGTTGTGGTTGTTGCTAAGGTTTCTACGAGAAGGTTGCTGTGAGTGCAAGAAGGTCGCTAGGAATGTTGTAGCTAGAAGATTGTAGTGAGTGTGAGAAGGTTGTTGCTGGGAAGGATACTGCTAGAAGGTTGCTGGGAAGGTTGCTAGGAAGGTTGCAGCTAGAAGGTTGCTGAGAGAAGATTGCAGTGAGTGCGAGAAGGTTCTTGGTAAGGTTGCAGCTACAAGGTTGCAGCGAGTGCGATAGGCGACTGATGGACTGTTCGCAAGTCTCAAACTCAGCATAGGAACGACAACGCACGAGATCCAAATTCGATCGATTCTTGGCCAAATCAACTCCAACTTTCACAAAATTTAAACCAGATGGTCACAAGGGAGTTGGGAGGCTATCTTTAAGAGATCATCGTCCAAGACTTAGCCAAACATCGTGAATTTCAAAACTCACGAAGAACATAGTTTTTCTCTCCAAAACGAAAATTGGTTCGAATCTTTGTGCTCGTGTGGATTCAAGACAATTCATTCAGAGAGTAGTGTCACCACATATCCTGGCACAAATTCAACCAACCAAAAACACCCCAAAAGCTTAGACCAAGGAGATCAAACAAGAACAAGGGAAGGGGAGACCGGGAGAGGAAGAACACCAAAAGCAAAATAACTCAGATCTTGACGTCCAGAGGACAAGAGGAGGTAAGGGCTGCCATTCCCACAAAGATGAAGTCTACTAGTTTGATTTTCATAGATGAATGATTTTTCTAAATCATCTGCGGATCACTACAGCAGTCTAGAGACAGGGAAACGCTAACAAAAAATGGCTAACTAGAGTGATAAGGTTGATTGGGGCAGCCCTCCTCTTATTTATAGAGGCTATTACACATTCTCAATATACCCCTAGATATTTAGAGTGAACCACCTAACCCCAAAGGGTAGTATGGTCCAACTTGAAATCTATTGATCCGACGGCCACGGGCCCTTCATGACTTAGCTTCGCCTCGACGCAAGCCTCGTGATGACACCATTGTCGCCTTTGATTGCCGCTGGAGCCGCACCTGGGTTTTGAGGCCCAAACCCAAAAAACGTCCACCGGTGGTTTTGAGGCCCAAACCATCAAACCAACCGGAGAAGCGTATCCGCTACGCCTCCTCCACTATCCAACATGTGTCACCGTCGTCCTCGACCACCTGACCGCCAAGTCTTTGAAGCCTTCTCTTGGCTTGCTCAATCGCCGTCTTGACTTGGTCAACATGGTCACTCTCATGTACTCTTGCACTTGTTGGTGACTTTAGGTGTCAGCCACCCACGGTCGATCACCTGGCTTCTCTGGTCCCTTGGTCCAAGCCTCAGCATCTGTCCTTCACTACTCCTAGTCCATCGGTACGGACCTACTTGACCTTCACC